GTTAGTGGTCAGAGTCATGGTCATGGTAATGGTAATAGTAATGGTAATTTTCATGGTAATATTAATGACCATGGTCATGGTAATAATAATACCCAGGTTCATGCTAATTATCATAGGTCATAGCAATGGTCATGGAAAAAGTTCGTGTCATGACCAATATTAAATTTTTTTCCGGTGAATTTGAATTTAGCGTAGGTCACATTCGATTGGTTAATCACGGCAAAACCAGAAGTTTATTTTTCAAAGTATTCTGCTTTTGAAATTAATCTTTCATTCGCCAGTAGTTTAATATCTCCCTAGGAGCCACATTTATGGTGTTGAAACATAATTGCCATTATGTAACGATTTTTAACATGTTTTAATATCATAATATATCTCTTCGCTAATGCGAATTGAGTCACTCCCGGTCAGTGGGCGTGTTTATAAAGATAAACACGCTAAAAATCCACTTTCCCCCCTACCCTGCGATGGCTTAATGGTTAGAATCTCCGAATGACACCAGTTCAGTCGGGTTTCGACCCTAGCTGGAGGCCGCCGGATGTCTAGCCACACTGATGAGTTGTGAAACAGTCTGTCTGTGGATGACGGTATATGTATATATATATATATATATGGGATTAATGCAAATATAAGATTTGTCATTTAGTTGATTGATGCAATTTTTAGGATCTCAACTCAAGGATTCCGTAGACAGACTATCCAGCAATCTTCGGTTTTAACTTACTAGGACCGAACACTTTAGAACTAAAACTTTGGGCAAACCTGACTCTATATTAATTTATATTGATAAATTCTTTTGTAGAACAAGCCACACTTTTGGAAGAAACGGCAAGAGGAAAATGGTAAATTTTACGACGAAGTTTCTAAACATACTTGAATTCAGATTTAGCATTCACCTAAAACGGCTGCCAGATATGTATGCTAAATTTCTACGAATATTGACAAAACCCAGTTGGTGTGATATAATCGGCTAACATTCTTTTCTATCCACACAGAATATTGATTAAGTTCTAACATAAAATCAAGCGTATTCAACCGAATGCCCAATCTCGGATCTCAAATAATAGCAGATAATTGGAATTATGATTTTCTAGAAGATAAGCATTAAGTCATCTTAAGAAAGGCGCCATCATAACATCCCCTATAATTCTCTATTTGGGATTGAGCCTGACTAACCTCAACTTCGTAAATATCGTGACAATGCTCTATTTAAATTCATAATTATTTAGAATTAACCATAAAAGTTTTACCCTTTCAGGAACAGGCAATAAATGCTTGGTGCAAAGATGCCAAGCGTTTCAAAAGGTCGAGTGTCAACAAATTAAGTTTTTTTCTTCCTTCTTTTTTCTTGCGGAAATAAAATAAACTAAAGTATTATGAACATAGAGTTTTTTTCTTGCTTATGTAAACACAACTATTTAAATTATATTTTTCATTTGACAATAGAACACAGAAATATCATGGGTTCATCAAGCTGTCGCCATATTGACGGGTAAAAGTGGCTATCAAATTTGAAGGGATGACTTCACACACACACACACACACACACACACACACACATATATATATATATATATATATATATATATATATATATATATATATACAATTTCATGGACAAACCTACTTACCCAAACCTGATCAGATATTTTTTATAAATTCTTATTCGATGTGAGAATTTGCAGGCTTCTCCCTCTCTCTCTCTGTCTCTCTCTCTCTCCATATATATATATATATATATATATATATATATGGAGAGAGAGAGAGAACAGAAGAGAGAGGAGGGAGAGACAGAGACAGAGAGACAGAGAGAGAAAGAGATAGATAGAAAGAGATAGATAGATAGATAGATAGATAGAGAGAAAATGCTCAAAAAGTATCGGAACTGCTGCAGATATCAATACGGCTTTTAATCTCCTTCAAAGTTGCCCTTTCTCTGAATCCGCACATTTTATGCAAAGACGTTTCCATTAATGGAAGTCTTTCCCGAACTCGTTTTTTGGAACTGCATGCAGCTACTTCCTCATATTCTCTTGGATTTGCACGACGTCTTGAAATCTGCCTATCAAGTGGGATTTGGGAATTCTGACGGTTGTCTGACTTGGGGAACCTTGTAAATGGCTCAGAACTGCTGCATGAGCCATAATCACTGGTTTAAAATAAAAAAATCGTTGTGGTGTGATGAAACGACCACACACTCCACATTATTCTTTCGAACAATGTTATAATCTGAGCGAGAACATTATGGCTTAATGTGCACTCGCGACAGTATTCAAGCGACTTCACTTTACCTAGTTTCGCATCGCTTCAATCGCAACAGTCCCGATACATTTTGATCAGACCACATATATACATATATGTGTGTGTGTGCATGCGTTTGTGTGTATGTTTGTGTGTATGTGTTTGTGTGTGTGTGTTTGTGTGTGTGTGTGTGTGTGTGTGAGAGAGAGAGTGAGAGAGAGAGAGAGAAAGAGAATAAAAACAATATTTTTAATCTGCTCACGAATTTGGTCTGATTCCAAAATGGTATGATATGTTGGGCTACGTCCTCTAGGAGTAAAGTTGAAAAACTCTCACACAGTTACACACTGACATTCGCATTTGTTAAATAGATATATGTATATGTATATATATTAGGGAAATCTATGACAGTGTGATGCGTTTGGTTTAAATCTATATATTCATATATAAACATTTATATATCGTTTTCCCATATATATATATATATATATATATATATGTGTGTGTGTGTGTGTGTGTGTGTGTGTGTGTGTGTGTGTGTGTGTGTGTGTGTGTGTGTGTGCGTGAATAAAAACAAAAGGAAAACTTGTTTTAGCGGAGGCGTTTCGTCCTTTGATGCGATTTATCAAGGTTTGGTTTGGTTTGTTTTACGGCAGATTAACCTCAATGGGTTATTTAATGCCGAAAACCTTTTTCCTGGTAATATTTTTGTTTTGTCAAAAATCTATTTCTGGTAATATATTTTCCTCAAAATTGTATGGCTGGTAATATTATTTTCAAAATCGTATTGTTGTTAATATTTTTTTTTCAAAAACGTATTGCTGGTTATATTTTTTTTTTCAAAAACGTATTGCTGGTAATAGTTTTTTTTCAAAAGCATATTGCTGGTAATAGTTTTTTTTTCAAAAATTTATTTCTGGTAATATTTTTTTACAAAGTTTTTCTGGTATTAAAACCTATTTTTACACTTATTTTTACATTTTTTTCCCTCAGTTTCGGGGTTAACTATTTGCCCATAGCTAGGACCTTAACAGGTGCTACGACCCCGGCCAGGGTGGACCTGGGAACACCGGCAATTAAGAGGTGGTTCCATGCTTCTCAAAGCCTCCTGATCAGAATCCTTGCTGTTGGACATAGTTTATCCTCTTACCCTGGACGCAGGTTTAGTTTATCGTCATACCCAGGACAGGAATTTATCCAGGAATAATATAAAGTTTTTTTTTTAAATTTTTCCGCAAGTATTTATAGACAAAAGTGAAAACGTCGTTCGTTTTTCAACATTTTTCAATGTAAAGGATGCTCATAAATATACTTCCGGTTCACTTGCGTCCTGGTTATGACGATTAACTACATCCGGCAGCAACATCTCTGATCGGGAGATAGGAGGTTTTGAGGCCCGTGGAACAACTGCTTTTGTTCTTACGTCCACTCTCATCCGAGGTGGTAGCCCCTGTTAGGGTCCCAGCAATGGGCAAATAGGTGACCGCCTAATAAACAGCCATAGTACATTTTTACAATAAAACGATCAACAATACATTTTTATAAGAAAAGGATAATATATGTATACATTTTATAGTAAAATTACCAAAAATGCATTTTATGATCTATAAACTATATATCTAAAAAAACATAGGTTTACCATGTAAGTATAAAATTATGTACAAAATATATGTAGTTGAGAGCATAAAATTACATACACAGTATTTAAATTTTGTCATTATATAACCCATAGAAGTCGGTATGCCGCTCAACAAAATCAACCAATCCAAATCCAGTTAACTAAAAGTCAAAACTATGGAAGATGCTAAATGGTGTAATTTAATAGTCCATCCTCACTTGTAAGGCGATTTAAGTGTTTTTCTACCTAAATATTAGCTATCCTTGGATAATAACAAGCTACACTTATTACAGTACCTGTCTCGGATAAATTCGAAGGCCCACAGCAGAAATATAAAACCGCGGATATTTCCAAACTTTTACTCACTAAAAGAGTGTGGTGGCCACAACTCTCAAACGATGTAGACTCCTTGGGAAGTATGGTGGACATAATTCTCAAGTCCTATAGACTCCCTGAAGAATATAGGGTCACAATTTTAAAATTTCTTAAACTCTCTGATCAGTATGGGTGCCACAGTCCTGAATTTCCTCTGAAGAGTATGGAGTCACAGCTCTCAAGTCCCATAGACACCCTGATACGTATAAAATAACAAATCTTAAGTCCCGTAAAATCCCTAAAGAGTATTTGGGCTACAGTCCTACATATTCCCTGGGGAGTAAGGAACAGCTCTCAAATGCCGTAGACACCCTGGGGAATATGAGAGTCATGTCATTCAAATCCTGTCGACTGCCTGAGGTGTATGCAGGCTACAGCTCTCAAGATCTGTAGATTCACATAGGAGGATAGGGATCACTGTTCTTAAGTCCCGTAGACTTCTTAAGGAGTATAGTGGTCACAGTTCTCAAATCTTTTTAACTCCCTGAAAAGTATGGAGCCACAGCACTCAAATCTCGTAAACTCCTTTAAGAGTATTTAGGCCACATCTCTTAAGTCCTGTACACACACTAAGGAGTTTCTTAAATTCTCTCAAGTCCTTTTGACTACCTGAAGAGTATAGAGCCACAGAACTCTAGTCTCGTAGACTCCCTGAAGAATATAGGGGCCACATCTCTCAAGTCCTGTACACTCCATAAGGACTTTCTTAAATTCTCTGAGAAGTATTGGGGCCACTGCTCTCAATCGTTTTGACTACCTGAAGAGTATGGAGCCACAGCAGTCTCATAGACTCCTTGAAGAATCAAAGGCCATAGCTCTCAAGTCCTGTACACTCCCTAAGGATTATGGGCGTCACACACCCAATTCCGTTAGAAGCCTTGAACAGTATGATGGCCACAGCGCTCAAATCCCATAGACTCACTAAAGAATATTAAGCCATAGTTCTAAAGTGTCGTAGAAATCCTGAGGAGTATGCAGGCCACAGCTTATATAACCCTTGGTACTGCTGCTGTGCATTCGATAGCAAGTCGTAGGATTTTACGGGATGGAGTTACTCGTCCCATGCTCAAAAGGATTTGAATTCAAAGATGTCCTTGTCCTATGCTGAGTACTAATCGCGGATAAATAGCCTAGTCTGTCCTACTCTTTAACCTGTAACTGGAGGGAGAAGAGATGGATTCATACCATTTCCAAGTGTATTTGCGCGTCAGTGAATGTGCCTTTTGGTGAGATGGCAATAGAAGTAGAACCATTCCCTCTAATATCTCATAATTTATTTTACCTTCAGATAGCAGCCGAGTAAAATGACATCTAACATGAAAATACATGCGCAGTAAAGTTGCGTCAGTAAATTCGTCCATGCAAAAATATGTTTTAGTAAATGTTCACCCAATGCCCAAGTGTTAATCAAAGTGCAGCTTGACTAAATGAGGTAGATGCATGGGCCGAGGGAGGAGAAGGGCAAGTAAGTACACATTATGAGAATACGTAACAGTTGTCACATTTTTACTTTCTTGTTCAATACGAGGCTCAAAAGGCATTCAAGGTAGAGTTTTACTAACCGATGTTTTTACCGAGCGAATTGCAGATGATAAGGATATATAGGATAGATAACGGTTAGCCTTGGACTTGATGTAATTATTGTAGTTATCAGGAAAGCATCCTCTCGGGAGTTTGTTCCATAAAGTGGTAGTTCGTGGGAAGAAGCTGTCGGAATGGAACTTCCTTTATAACCAATGGAATAAGAAAGGAATGAAGATGGGTCGACCCTCTGCAATTATTATGATGGGTGGAGTAATGGATTGCGGCTTGGATTGAGGAATTGGAGAGATACATGATAGCCTAAGCCTATATTATACATGGTCATAACTGATTGATTAGTTGTAAATGTCTGACCTGGTTGGATGTATCTCGTTAGGAAATATTTTATGGAAGTAGTAACTGGCTTGTTAAGGACAACGATTAGGAGGCGGGAAATAATTCATCACCCACAATACGTTACTGAGCTAAGAATTATGCTTATCTGTTAACACTATGCTCAAAATTCAAGTTAACGAGAATAAAATTTCCATGTTAAAATTTCGACTTGTCCACGAGTGTATACAATAGATTTTTATATTGGAACAATCGAATGTCTGAAATTAAGAATTAATCCCAACTCTTGCTATTATACTCAAAATTCAAGCAAACGATAGTAACATTTTCGTCTTAAGATCTCGACTTGTCCACGAGTATACATAGTCATATAGATATTCTCAAAACTCATTCTGCTGTAGAACCACATCTCCGCTGCCTCGAGTCTCTTCTCCATGTTTGGGGTGACCGTCCAACATTCGCTGCCGTATAGCAACTCTTTTCTTTGTTAGCAAAGAAATCCTCCTGTCTCGTAGTACTCTGCCTAGCTTTTGGAATGCATCCTTGGCCATTCCAATCCGTCTTCGGATCTCAGCGTCTCTCCTACCGTCCTCCGCCAAAACACTTCTTTCCTTCTACATATCTATACAAAAATATCCACAAAGATTCCATTTATTTATTTATATTTGTCTGTTGCTTTTGTATATTACTAAATGGGGAATATGTTAAGGTTTGTAGTCTTATCATGTTGAAACACCGGTTCTTGTACGAGCACCGAAGTTAAGTAACGTTGAATCTGGTCATTCGTAAGATGGGTGGCCGCATCAGAATACCAGGTGCTGTAAGCTTGGATGCGGATGTGGGGTAATGGATAACGGATCAGAAGGAGGAATCGGGACGCTGATTTTGAATTCAAATCGAGTTCGTTACCTTCCCTTATACAAATACTCTTGGCCGATCATGTATCGTAAAGAGACATAATGCAATTCATTCGTCTATACCGACCTTACATTTTTAAGTCTAAATGTTTATCTAAAGCCTAGTGTTCCTCTTAGGTTTTACTATCGTACACATATTTCAATCTAACGAATTTTACTTTGAAAATCTGATACTCACATGACAGATTGAAGGCAAGAAGACCGGAGGAATGCAACCCAAAACCTAGCTGGTAACCATCAGTGAATGGATGGCGAAGCAGATTTTGGAAAAGATGACAAAGAGCTACAAAGAATAAGATATTGTGGAGAGCTATGATCGCCAATCTGCTGAATGAACCCGGAACATAGAAGAAGAATAGGTCGATCGAAAATTTTTATTTCGAAATATTGACTCAGCAACTTGAATTATCCTCGAGTCCACCAAATGTTTGTCACTAGGTGCTCCATTAATTGAAACGTTTGCCAAGGTTTCGTGAGTGCAACAAGGTTGTTTCGACTCATTTTGAAAAGTAATTAAACACGCAAAAGCCTGGGCAACTGTAAGCCGAATACTTGCCACCTATTGTTCGCAAACATCCCAAAATGAACAATGCAAAACAAAGCTGGAAATGAAGCTACCCGGTTACCGGCTGTAGATTACCAGGTGGCTTTGATATGCACCAATAACCCAATAAAAGAACATTTCGTTTCTTTTGTTTTTTTCTTTTTTATACCTTCTCTTTTTTAATTAGTTTGTTTCCTTTTCTTTCTTTTTTTTTTTTTTATAATTAGTACGCTTTTTCTTTTTTATTTTTTTTATTTTTCTTTCCTTCTTTCTTTTTTTTTATAGTACGCTTTTCTTTTTTTAGTTTCTTTGGTTTTCCTTTTCTTTCTTTCTTTTTTTCCTCTTTTTATCTTTCTTTTTCCGCTTTTTCTTTCGTTTTCTTCCTTTTTCTTTCTTTTCTTTCTTTCTTTCTTTCCTTTTTCTTTTCTTTCTTTCTTTCTTTTTTATCCTCCCTTTTCTTCTTTTTCTATTTTTCACTTTCATTTTTCTTTTTCTTTCTTTTTTTCTTTCTTTCTTTCTTTCTTTCTTTCTTTTTTCCTCCTTTTTATCCTTTTTTTTCTTTCTGTTCTATCCCTTTCATCGACTTTCGTTTTTTACCTTTCTTCTTTCTTTTTTTCTTTCTTTCTTTCTTTTTTCTTTCTTTCTTTCTTTCCTCCCTTTTCTTTCTTTCTGTTTATCCATCTTTCTTTTACCTTTTCTTCTTTCTTTCTTTTTTTTCTTTCTTTCATCTTTCTTTTTCTTTTCCCTTTTATTTTCTTTCTCTGTTCTATTCTTTTCTTTCGTTTTTCTTTTCTTTTCTTTTTCTTTCTTTCTTTTTCTTTCTTTCTTTCTTTTTCTTATCCTCCTTTTTATCTTTCTTTCTGTTCTATCCTCTTTTCACTTTCGTTTTCGTTTTACCTTTCTTTCTTTCTTTCTTTCTTTCTTTCTTTCTTTCTTTCTTTCTTTTTTTCTTTCTTTTCTTTCTATTTCTTTCATCCCTTTCGTTTTTCTTTCCTTTTTTTTCTTTCCTTCTTTTCTTTCTTTCTTTTTCTTTCTTTCTTTCATCCACTTTCGTTTTTCCTTTTCTTTCTTTCTTTTTTTTCTTTCTTTTTTTCTTTTTCTTTCTTTCTTTCTTTCTTTCTTTCTTTCTTTTTATCCTTTCGTTTCCCTTTCTTTTTTTCTTTCTTTTCTATTTTATCCTCTTTCATCCTTTCTTTCTATTTTCACCTTTTTTCTTTCTTTCTTTTTTCTTTCTTTTTTCTTTCTTTTCTTTTATCTTTTTTCTTTCTATCCTCTTTCATCCACTTTCTTTTTTCACCTTTTCTTTCTTTCTTTTCTTTTTTTTTTTTTTTTCCTTTCCTTTTCCTTTTATTTTTTTCTTTCTGTTCTATCCTCTTTCATCCACTTAATTTTTTTTACCTTTCATTCGTTTTCTTTCTTTTTTCTTTCTTTCTTTCTTTTTTTCTTTCTTTCTTCCCTTTTTCTTTCGTTTTCTTTCTTTCCTCTTTTTTCATCCACTTTCGTTTTACCTTTCATTCTTTCTTTCTTTTCTTTCTTTCTTTCTTTTTCTTTTTTCTTTCTTATTTCCTTTCTTTCTTTCTTTCTTTTCTTCCTCTTTTTCTTTCTTTCTTTTTTCTTTTCTTTTTTCTTTCTTTCTTTCTTTCTTTCTTTTCTTATCCTCCCTTTTATCTTTCTTTTTTTCTGTTCTATCCTCTTTCATCCACTTTCTTTTTTTACCTTTTTCTTTCTTTTTCTTTCTTTTTTCTTTTCTTTAATTTTTCTTTCTTTTCTCCTTTTCTTTCTTTCTGTTATCCTCTTTCATCCCTTTTTTACCTTTCATTTCTTTCTTTCTTTTTTCTTTCCTTTCTTTTTTTTTCTTATCCTCCCTTTTATCTTTCTTTTATTCTATCCTCTTTCTTTTCTTTCTTTACCTTTCATTTTCTTTCTTTTCTTTCTTTCTTTCTTTCTTTCTTTCTTATCCTCCCTTTTATCTTTCTTTCTGTTCTATCCTCTTTCATCCACTTTCGTTTTTCTTTTTTCTTTCTTTCTTTCTTTCTTTCTTTCTTTCTTTCTTATCCTCCTTTTATCTTCTTTCTTTCTCTTTTCTATCCTCTTTCTTTTTTCTTTCGTTTTTTCCCTTTCTTTTTCTTTCTTTTTTTTCTTTCTTTCTTTCTTTCTTTCTTTCTTATCCTCCCTTTTATCTTTCTTTCTGTTCTATCCTCTTTCATCCACTTTCGTTTTACCTTTCATTCTTTCTTTCTTTTTCTTTCTTTCTTTCTTTCTTTCTTTCTTATCCTCCCTTTTATCTTTCTTTCTGTTCTATCCTCTTTCATCCACTTTCGTTTTACCTTTCTTTCTTTCTTTCTTTCTTTCTTTCTTTTCTTTCTTTCTTTTTTCTTTCTTATCCTCCCTTTTATCTTTTCTTTCTGTTTATCCTCTTTCATCCACTTT